AATTCTCCTTGCTGATCTACAGAATTGGATTTGGTTGGATTTGGGTGTTTTCTTGGCTTCTGTTCTCTGAAACTGGGCTGATTTGTCAGTGGCAAATGGGTGGTACCTCATAATTTCCTCTCATGCAACTGGGAGTAGAAGAGATGCAAAGAAATGTGTTTATTATTTGCATAATAGTTGTGTGCCCTAAAAGTGGTTTTGATCTTTCAAGTTTTCAGTGAAATAGGAATCTTTGAGTACAGTTTGACTGTTGGTCCAGTACACTTCAGTGTATTGTTTTCCACTTCACTTGTTTTTTTCTACTCATGGCCTTTACAGAATCATTAGGTTGGAAAAGACCTTCAAGATCATCAAGTCCAACCATCAGCCTCACACCCCTCTGACCACTAAACCATCTCCCAAAGCACCATGACTACCTGTGGTGCTTTCATTACAGCTTAGCACTTGGATGGCATTGATGATCTCATTAGGAGATCAGGTAGTTTTTCTGTGTAAGAAATCTGCACTTTGATGATAACTGGATTGGACTCTGGGATTAGAGCCTGCTGTTCTCCACATAGCTACTGCAGGGACACTGTCATTCCCTCCTCTTAGGGTATGATTCTCACCTTTCTAGTTCTGCAGAGTTCTGTATCATCTATAAAGCACAGGATTTTTCTTGTGCTTCATGTAAAATACCTCAGGGAATAAGCTAAACTGTTCTCTCCCTGAATATTCATGGTGAGGGAATGCAGAGGGAAGGAGGACTTTTTTTTTTCCGTTTTGTTTTGTTCAAGGGTTTGGAATATTAGGATTAGTCCAGGTGGCAAGCCATGAATGGATGGACAGTGTGAGCTGGCCAGAGCTGATGGAGAAAATATTCATCAGAAGGGTACTATCTCCATCTGTTGGTCATGTGTGTGTATTATGTATTTGTGTGCTTTTCAACTCCTGTTTTGTTCTTAGGCAAAACAAATGATAATTAAGTTTTAGCTTGAGGCAACCTGGGTTTCTCTTTTCTGCACGGGAAGCCTGACAAATCTCTTGTCACAGTTTTTTATCAGGCTTTATGGCAAGCAATATCTGTTATTAACTCTGGCCACATGTTGATGCTGGTCTAATTGCTGTCACTGTGTAAATGACTTGTAAACTGAGTATTTAGGTGACAGCGTATGTTTTACACCGAAGCTATTCATGCACTTATGTGACTGGTGGATTCCTGAAGTGCATGACTACTGGTGGCTGCTTTTGCTGTTAGTTTTGATTAGTACCTTCTGAGACTGGTGTCAGGTGAATTTGGGGGAATTCATATTTTCCTGTCTTGCACAGGGATCTAGTGGATGAAGCTAAAAATTATCTGCTGTTGCCCCAAGAGCGGCCGCTGATGCAAGGACCAAGAACCAGACCACGCAAACCCATCCGCTGTGGAGAAGTGCTCTTTGCAGGTTTGTAGAGCTCCTGGTTCAGGTCAGGAGATTGAAGTCTGGGTTTTCTGGTCACAGTGCTTCTGTCAGGCTAGTCTTTGTGCTGTATTTCTGGTGTGACCTGTCTGTTAATATTTGGAGATTTGTGTTAACTTACGCTTTTTCTTGTGTGATTTCCGTGGTGCTAGGAACACCAGATTACATCCAAACCTGCACTCTGAATGAATGACTCTGAGATGGGGCTACTGGGGTGAGCCTGGGAGTCCAGAGGGAGTGTTTGTACCAGGCACACATGCTGTCTGTGAGCCCAGTGTGTTATGATGACATGATTTCTTGTTTGGCTCCTGCAGTGGGGGGCTGGTGTAGTGGAGATGCCATTTCCAGTGTGGAGCGCTACGACCCTCAGACCAACGAGTGGAGGATGGTGGCTTCCATGAGCAAAAGACGCTGTGGTGTGGGAGTCAGTGTCCTGGATGACCTCCTCTATGCTGTGGGAGGCCACGATGGTTCCTCTTATCTCAACAGTGTGGAAAGGTAGGTCTGCATAAGGCCAGTGTGCAAAACGTTCGTTCTGAATGTTTAAAACTGGGTGCAGCCACTTAAAAATGAGTTTGTTTTGCCAGCTGTGTTCTTACTCTGCTGAAACCCCGAAATTAATATTACACATTACCTGCCATTTCCTCCTCCCTTGCATGCTCATGCAGTATTGTGTTGGTTACTGCTGAATTAGGACTTCAGGCGTAACAGCTTGTGTCACGTTATCGCCTGCTTAATGAGACGAGGCGGATGTAAGAAAAGGGTCTGGGTGTAATTGAAGGGAGGAGTTATGATCCTGGTTAACCTTCTTAGCAATTGCTGGTTTGTTTTTTAGCATTGTTGAGGGAGGTGAGGTTACAGTAAGCATTTCTTGGATGTTGAAGTAAAGATCCTGGAATTTTATTGTGGACTGGTAACTAGAGAATTAAGGAACCTTGGCACTTATGCAGAAGAAGGAAAATAGGTCAGTTTTAGACCTATGAAGAAACTTAAGTCAAACAAGCTTTGCCAAACTTCCTGTTTCTGGGAGCAGCATATGGCAATTCCCATGCTTAAAAACCACATGACTCAAACACTCCTGGTACTCTTAAATCTCAACTCTGTAACAAGTCCCATGAACTAGACAGGTATCTCCTTTCTGCCTGAGCCTGCTCTGCTACCCACTTATCTCCTTACACACTCCAGCTTCCCAAATCATGATCCTAGCCTTGCATCTCCCATGTCCTGCACTTTGCCTGCTATGAGCCATGCTTCCTTGTCTCTGAATTACCAAGTCAGTCTGGTTTCCTCACCTTTTTATCCTGAAGGAGAGGTCTTGCTGCTGTCTTGAGTTCTTATGTGAAGTGCAGAGAACATAGAGCAGAATAACTCTGGCAGCTGTTCTTTGCATAGATGCAAGTTTCCACATGACAGCCAGTCCCTGGTAACCTGCTCTCATAAGAACTTGAACCTTTGATCTGCATTTGGAGTCTTCTCAAGTTTGAACACCCCTGGAATAACATGGATGCATGACATCACTTCAGGGTTTTTTTTCCAGCTTACAAATAGCTATGTTGCAGTTTAAGCTCCAAATAGGAAAGTTTCATCTCCTTAGTAGATCCCAGGCATGGGAGTGTGTGAAGCACACTTAGACAAGGAATTTGTACTGTTTGGTGTGTTTTTCTAGGTACGATCCAAAGACAAATCAGTGGAGCAGTGATGTGGCCCCCACCAGTACCTGCAGGACCAGTGTTGGAGTAGCAGTTCTTGGGGGCTACCTCTATGCTGTTGGTGGCCAGGATGGTGTCTCTTGTCTCAACATTGTGGAAAGGTACTTTTTAATTTACCAAAAACTAGAAAAAATAGGGCACAGGATTTTTTTTGTTGGGAGAGAATCAGGTCAATTTTCCTACCCATCTGTGAAGATGTCAACACTTCACTAAGTGTTTTCTTTTGCCAGGTATGATCCCAAAGAAAACAAATGGACTCGAGTGGCTTCCATGAGCACCAGGCGCCTGGGGGTTGCAGTGGCTGTACTGGGGGGCTTCCTCTATGCTGTGGGAGGCTCTGATGGGACATCTCCTCTCAATACTGGTATGCCTTTTGCTGTTCCTTATTGCAGCCAGCACTTGTAGGGCTCTTGTTTGTCCTTTGTGGCCCCAGATAGCTGCTGAATTTCTCAGTGATCAATTTGCTGTGGTTTTTCATCTTGAAGTAGGATTGTTTTGCCATACAATAATTTGCTTTCTTGTTAGCCCCTATTACCTGGTTGTGTGGGTTTGTTGTTTTTTTTTTCTTTCTTGATGCTGCATTTGGCAGTGTGTCCTGACTACAGTACTTTGATCCTTTGCATCAAAGTTGCAAGGACATCTGTTTTCCCTGCAGTAGTTTTACCTTTTCTGCTGTAGGAAAGAAGGTGCCAAAGGTAAAACTACTGCAAGATGGTAATGCAGGTCAGTTTTGTAGCATTGCCAGCTCACTCTTGAGGTGCTGAGTGGGACTGACTGCATAGGACTGGAGGCAGGAGAGATAACAGCAAGTGTTCTGTAAAAGAAAAGCATTAGAGCAAGAGGTAACCACCTGGTTCCTTGTATTTTTGGTGTGTGGAAATTTGTAGTGTCCTTGCAGATTGAGCAATACTTTGGATGCAGGCTCAAAAGTGCTTATCCCCACTGCCTGCCAACCCTGTTGTCCCAAGATGTGTCATTTCCCCTCCAGTGGAACGCTACAACCCCCAGGAGAACCGCTGGCACACGATTGCACCCATGGGGACAAGGAGGAAGCACTTGGGCTGTGCAGTGTACCAAGACATGATCTATGCTGTGGGAGGCAGAGATGACACCACGGAGCTCAGTAGTGCTGAGAGATACAACCCTCGAACCAACCAATGGTCTCCTGTTGTGGCCATGACATCCCGCCGGAGCGGAGTGAGTTTGGTTTGGTTGGCTTGTCCATACTATATGTAAGCAGGTGGTGAGAGCACAGGGCACTGTCATCTTGTGAGGTTTTTCTCTTGCTTCCTCTGTGCCTTCACCTCAATCCCTCTGAAGGGAAAAGCTTGCAGGAAGTCAAGCCTCTTTAGCAAGACTAGAGAAAGAAGTGGTGGTTGTGTTGCACCACAGACAGCTGTTAAATGCCTGCAGGTGGGGAAATTGAGTAATTTGAGGGTCTTTTTAAAATAGTTTTGGTCTCCTATATGGAGTCAAATAATCTGGCCTGAAACAGGAATTGGTGAAGTAGCCATACCTGGTGTGAGATACTATTAGAATACAGTATCAAAATTAGTACCTGGGTCTCAGCCTGCAGTGCACTTTGCATGAATGAAATGAACCTACCTACTTGCACAGGAGAGCAAGCTGGGAAACTGGGCAAGCATTATTATTTAGATACAAATTTCCAGCTAAGTGTGTTTTTTCCTTGCGTTCAGGTGTGGGAACAGGGTTTCTGGGGTTTCACTTAGTACGTTGCCTTTCTTCACCAAATCCTGTGAGCATGGGGAGTGACAACATGTTTTCATCTTCCTCCTTTCTGTAAACATGTGGACAAAAGATGAACATAGTGTTTTAAATAGTCATCGTGTTTGGGCAAATGTAAATGTTATGAATATTTATCACTGGATACTGGCTTATATACATATATATATATATAGAGAGAGAGTAGATTAATTCTGTCTGTATGTTAGTATTTCAGTGTCTGGTGAGGCAAGTCTGAATCATAATTTCAGAATCTACTGGTGCTGAATACATTTTTTTTTTCCATCCTCAAAGCATATCATACACTGTCCAACACTATCCTTTTTAGTTACTGATTAGGCATTGACTTTTCATGAGCTGCTTCTGTATTTGCTTGCTGTAGAAACCTCTTCACAGATGCATCTGTATCTGCAGCCCCTCCTGAGTTTTCTGACTTCCTCAAAGCCAAAGCAAGAATCATTTCACGCTGTGTTCTTGCAGTATTTTTTTCCTGTTATGCCACAGGATGTTTTCACTGAATGTGACCTTCCTAAACCACAGAACTGTTTAACATTTCAGTGATTTTGTGCTTTAGCAGAAGGACAAAATAAGCTGGAGGCCCAGGTGCTTTTAGATGGTCCAAACCCCAGCCCAAGAGGAGCAGGCCAGGGGCTTACATATGGTTCTAGTTTAAGCAAGCATTCCAGGCTGCAGGCTGGTAGATATCCTGGTACGTGCATGTCACACTTCAGTCCAGGACATAATACATTTTGGCTCATAAAGGCTTAGGTTTTCATAGATCTACTATGATTCAAGCAGTTCTCATTCTTGTAGCTGGTAATGAGGGGAAGCCATTGCTTTTCCTTTAAAGAGATTCTCTATTTTGAGATATATATTGGAGATATTTCTTGTCTCTTTATTTTTTAGGCTGTTTCTCGCTAAAAAAAAAAGAACCTCTACTGCAGACTGCCTTTCACCAAACATGGTTATAAATCCTTTTATTGATATTTGCATTTTAACCCTTCTTTTCAGGACATCCCAGCTAAATAATCACTATCTATGGTGTTCTGCAGGTTGGCCTGGCAGTAGTGAACGGGCAGCTGATGGCAGTGGGGGGTTTTGATGGCACAACGTACTTGAAGACCATTGAGGTGTTTGATCCAGATGCCAACACATGGAGGTAACTGTTAAGTCTGTGGAACAGTCAAGTAGCCATCTCTGACTGTAGCTGCTGTCACCCAGCTGGGGCTGTCCCAGCCAAATTAGAAATGTCATGAACACCATAGTGAAGATCTCTGGTGTGGCAGTCAGCATATAATGTCCACTGGGGTGTGTCAGCCTGCAGGAAAGGTGCAAGAAGGAGAATCATGTTTTGAAAAATAGCCCAATATGCCATTTACCTCTAGCATCCCCATATCTATGACTTTAGCAGTTGAGAAACATTGTCTTGCAGATTTCTGCTTGAATTCCAGCCATTGACTCCATATTAGTTAAGAATGAGTTTTCTATGGTTTTTCCCACCTAAGGATCCCAAGAGATTTAACCAGCACTAAATGAATGAAGTTTTTACTGCAACTTTTGCAGGTAGGAAGATGGTATATAAGGTAGGTAATTGAGATCCAGAGGAAATAAAAGATTTAGCAGGCTTGTTGGGTAGCAAGCAAAAGGTCATACCAAAACCTGGTTTGATTTTTGATGTGCTGCTTTTGAACATAACAAAAATAGACCCCACTGAGAGAGACATATCCCTTCTGTTTATCTTGGGCTGAGTCTCTTCTGCTTCCCAATGAAACTAACCTTGCCCTTAGCAGAAGGAGCTCACAGTCATGATGTGGAATTCAGCCTACTCATTTTTTGCTTTCAAGCTGAGGCTCTGGTTTCCACATCCTTTTGGAGGAGCTGAAACAGAACACTTGGAGCATATGATGTTCTTTCCCTTTAAATCTGCAAGACAGCAGTTAGAAGAATTCCATTTGATTTGCAAGCTGAGGGAAGTAATATGAAATTGCTGAACAAAACCATGTTCTGAGCAGAAAGGCCACTTTTCCTATTTCTTTTCTATTCATAAGTACACTTGAAAGCAATTGCCTGTGTATGTATTCCCAAATCTAATTAATGTTACATTTCAGCTTCCTATCTATATTCCTGCT